TCGTTCCGGCCTCGACCCGGGCAGAGGTAGGCAGCGCCAGCACATCCCGGCGTGGAGCTCGGGAGGGCAGGTACCGCCCGCTGTTTCCAGTTCGGTAACAGCCGGGGTTTTTCGGGGGGGTGTGAGGAACAGGCCCCGGTTCTGAATCCGGAACCGGCTTACATATGTCGTGAAGTATGTGTACGGGAGGTGTGAGGAACAGGCTCCGGTTCTGAATCCGTAACCGGCTTACATATGTCGTGAAGTAACTTGATTGAAGTCGGCACAAAGTGATTATTTAAAAAAAGGAAGAATTATAAAGCCTAACCCAGGAAATTACCTCGTTAAATGTTCCCCGGGTTCTTCAGCTGACATTCCGTGACATGCCGCTTAAATCCTGAACCGCAGAGGTCGGCCGGGCTCGATGGGCCAAACAGAGCCGTGCTGTATGTAACCAGATCACAAATAGGGTTGCATTGCTAAAACTCCTCCGAATCCAATTAGAACTGTTAAGTAAGCATTGTTTTGTCTCTGATCTATTATCCTTGCATCGCGTGGCTTACAGTTTCTGACTGAAGGTACAAGCCATTAGCTTGAAAGGGTTTGGAATTGCGATAGCTGCAAGCTGGAGGCAAACCCTTTTTAAGTGGTTTTATTACAGCCTGTTTGCTTCACCCACAGAAAGGGAGGTGGCTGTTGTAAACATTGGGCAGGATAAGTTGGTGTCATGCTGTTGGTGGCATGTGACGGTAGCGTTCCTGGGACTGTCTCCTCTCCTGTTTCAGATCCAGCAGTTCAGTGCTTCCAGCAAGTGTTCTCTTCTGTTTATTTCATTCGTAACTTAGAGCTGGGAATCAAACTGAACCAAATACCCGTCCTGAACAGGAAAACAATTTCTTACAAAAAATAAAGTTAGTAAATATTTAGAGAAGAAAGAGAATGCGATCACTGGATTTTCTCTTAGGTGTTGTGAGCGATCTGTTCTGAAAGTTGGTGCGGTGCAATGGTTTTACTGGTTTAGTGCAGTGACATGTGAGACCAGTCCCCAGTGAAGCCTGGGCAGAAGCAGACTGTGCACTTAAATCTCACTGCACCAATGTAAGCAAGGAGTGATGTGGTTTGGCTAAAAGTGTTTTATCTATTGCAAGAATTGGCAGTAAACTTCCATATTCATAGAAAAGGCTTGAGTCCTAAGGTTGTAACCCTCATTTGAGCATCCTTTTTCTCATGTTTAGCCTTTAGAAAGTGCAGATTAATGCAATTTTAAACCCTATTGCATTTCATAGCATGTAAATGTTTTAGATACTTGGAATTTTTTATACTTTTACGGTTTAAGATGGATTTACATATATATGTACTTATTAATCTGGTAAATTTTTATGCAATATCTTTGTATGTTTCTTTTTCTGTTTTCTTGAAAAAATGTATCAGATTAAATTACATTGTGTGCCCTTTGCTCACTTGACCTGAGGTTTCCACTACTCAAAGAACACTGTTCTATTACTCTTCTCAGTGAGATGGTGAGATAGGTACTGGTGGAATCATTTATTTCCCTCTGGGTGTGTTTACTGTTCTAGTTTGAGTCAAGAATGTCCTTTATAAGCAAATGCTGTGATCGTCACTGTTTAATATGCTTTGGCTCACAATTTGGGATGGTCTTGTAGTGTACAAAAGAAACAAAACCAGAAAATGCACCCTGGGAGCAAATCTAATGCAGTCCAGCTGCTGAGAAGCGTTCAGTCAGTGGTACCAAATTATAGCTAGTTTGACCTAAAAGGTGCTGAAGCATGTGCAATGTGGATGTTGGATTCTTAACACCAAGTGCTTTGCTCTGCAGATGTGTTTGTGTTCACCAGTGTTGCTTGCCAGTATAGGTACAGCCTATAGTAATGTATGTGCATTAAGAGTAGTAGTAAGTATGTAAGTTCAAGATAGTAAGTTCTTGACAGGCGTTTCGCTTTAGAGAAAGGAGTTCTAGAAGAAAAATGTTTGTTTTGGTTTTTTGGGGGGGTTTTTTTTGAGGGTTGTTTTTGCTGGGTTTTGGGTTTTGTTGGTTTTTGAGAAGTGCTGAAAAGCACAGGCTTTTTCCTTCTTCAAATTCCACCAGCTCCTGGATGAACTTCACCAGGTTCCCTGATGTGGGCTTATCTTCCTTACCTAGTTCAGATTCATAAAGTCGTGCAGCAGAACATAACCACCCCTTTTTTTTGTTCACAGATCCTTTGATTTGTTGCAAACCTGGACTCAATTGGGTTCTTCTGTTTATAAGAATTTAATCCCGCACCTCCCAGGAACGTAGCTGGGTGGGGCATACTTTAAGGGGATGCTTACAATTTCTGATGCTGGTAACATGGAAGAGTCACTTCAGTGGCAGGTGAAAAAAGAGTTCCTTGTTCAGTATTTTGTAAGGACTGGAATATTGCGAGAGACAATCTAACAGAGAATACTTTGTGTCTCGATATTTCTACCTCTGTTAAAAAAAAAAAAAAATGCGAAGTTTATTGTTTGAGGCAGAAAACATATTCACTTACTGAGGTACAGGTGGAAAAAGGGATTTAGGTCTTAGTCTAGCTCCAGAAGAATGTCTTTTCTCCAAGATGGATGTGACTTGCTTCTTTCAAACTGCATGAGGCCGAAGCAGGCCAGATGTCTGACATGTGAAGTCACACAGCCAAGTACAGAACTGTGCTGCAATAGAAGCTGCTGGGTGGTACAAAGTCGGCAGGGGTTTATGATATGACATTTCTGCTCCCTTGGATGCTGCCAAGTGTTCAGCCTCATCCTACAGTGAAGCAGAGATGCTTCCCCAGAGACACTGCCAGTTTGAAATTGTTCTTGTTGGTCAAGCTCCCTGAGCTTTCTGACATACAGAGTGTGCGAAGATTTCCCTGTGTAACAGAAAGGATGAGGAAGTTTGTTTTTTCCTTCACTCAAGGAATCCTTTTGGGAGCGTGTTTCAGTCTTTCTTGTTGATGCTAGCTCATTTCAATATTTATTTCCTTATTCATGTTCTCTAAGATTTATTTAGAGCAAGAGAATTAAAGCATCACCTCACCCTGGCAATTAGGAACCTCATTGGGTTTTTGCTCCAGTAGGTGATTGATTATATATGTGACGTGAATCAGGTTGATGGTTTCCCATTCTACAGCCACCTGCAGCCTCATGGTTGATTGGGGTATTCCTGGGTGAAATGGGTGGTGACTCAAATCCTATTAATCCAAGAGGTGTCATCTAATTTCCATCTTGTAAGAGCTCTTCTTTGTGTACTTTGTGAAAACAAGGAGATGGTGCTTTTTTGGCAGTTTGATACTGCTGTCCCAATTTTCTTTCGCTTTTTTTTTTTTTTAATGTACACACATGCACATAAAAGATTAATTTTTGCTTGAAGTAGTTTTATTTAAGAAAAAATGTCAAATCTTTTATTTCTTTTTCCCTGAACTTAGGGGGGGTTTGACATTTTAATCTGCTGGAATGAAAAGCTAACTGCTATTACCACACTGCTTTTGATGTGAATGCTTGTAAAACTTAATTGGTCCAATTCAAGCTACGTAACATGTGTCCAGTTAACATTGTTACATGTCTACAGCATTATATGCAGCAGAGTTGTTTTGAAAAAATATTTCTCTTTGAAAACAGATCCATTATACTTCAGTGAATATGTAATATATGAAAATACATTTTTCACCTAAATTGTTGACTGTGTTGTCTTTTGATTCATGTCATGTATATTGTTGCATGCACGTTTGGCTTGTGTAGTCTGCTCCAGATCTCTTACAGAAGCAATTCTGAAAAAAGCTTTTCTATTCTTTATACTAAACAGTCAGTAAAACTACACCAGCTTCTTCTACACCAGATGCCTAAAAATTGCTGACTTTTTCTAACTTTCTGTCATTTTAATTTTAACAGAGACAGTTTAAAAGCAGCATTTTATACGAAACCAAATTCCTTGTGAAAATGTTTAACCATCAATACTGCTGTCTACCATCTCAATGCAGATACAGCTTCTTACAAAGCGGTATCTTAGTGTTGCTCTCACTTTAAAAATTACAACAATATTTTCTGTCCTTCACCTCAGGTACTGTTCTTGAAAAGAAGAGAAAGCATGGCTTACACAGTGATTGAACCTTAAGCTCCTGGATCAAAAACTGAGGCTTTTTTCATGAAGGATGGCAACACCGTATGTTCCTGTTCCTATTCCTGTTGGAAGTTCATCATCTAGCTTTACAAACAGAAACCAAAGAAGCTCTTCTTTTGGGAGCATCTCGACGAGTTCCAGCTCCTCAAAAGGACAGCTGGAGGACTCTACAATTGGTAGTTTTAAAAAGATGAGTGTGCCTGACCAGATTGGTTCTACGTCATCTGTGTGTAGTAGCCCACTTGTTAGGACTAAATTTACAGGTTTGGATACATCCATAGAATACTGTACTCAGCCTGTAGAAGAAATAGAGCAGAATGCAGATTCCAGAAGCTGGGAAGATCGACCGTCTACGCCTACTATACTGGGTTATGAGGTGATGGAGGAAAGGGCAAAATTCACTGTAAGTTTTGGGGATAGTATAGTTCATCCTGTAATGACAAGATAATGATTGAATGTGCTTTGCATTCTCTCTCAGTAATTAATCCTGCAGTTCAGGGATGTTGGAGTACTTTACAAATACCAGCTTAACTTCAGAGTACTTCCATCTGATGGGAATGAAAATATCATTCCTGGTATTCAGGTGGGAAAACTGAGATTCATAAGCAGACTTCCCTGTAATTGTGTAGGTAAATAGGAGGGATTCATTCTACTTGAGGTATCAATTTCTGCTGGAAAAGTCAGGAATTCCTTGCAAAGTTACAGTTCCTTGTGAAACTGAACTTCTAGAAGTTCTGGATACTTAAAAGTCTTAAATAAAATGCAGCCTTTTGTTTGAAATGAATGACGAGACGTCCTGATATTTGCCTTTGACAGTTATTGGTAACATAAAACATTTAAATTAAAGTGCATTCACACAGCTTACAGCTTCTTGCATTGCTAGGTTTAGTTTCTAGTAAGGGGAATCTGTTCTGAAAACATCAGAGTAAGATGTCACATATGCAGTATCTCATGACAGAACACCAGCTTAACTGATTTGTATTGATTGTTCTCAAAATGTACTGTAGCTGGCAATTCAATTTTTTTACATGCTATAAATATATTAAGGCATTTGTGCATTTGTTTTTGTGGATGTGGTTGAAACATTTCTTTGAGATAATTCAGCAGTGCTTGTGGGACCGATGGAAGTTGTTTGTTACTAATTATTTATTAATTATGTTACTTCAGGAGAGTGACATTAATCACAAATAGGAAAGGAGGAGGAAATAGCAGGCAAATTTTTTTTCTCCTATTTTCTTTTGGATTAGAAAAGTGTGGAAGCTAATGCCTTTATGGCAGTTCAAAGGCTAGTAAAAACATCAAGTTCCTTTTGCAAAGGGTTAAATAGTACTGCTTCTTAAATTTTTGAGAATGATAGCTTGTCTCATCGTAAGTTTTTCAGTTTCTAACATCTTCATGTATGGTAGCATAAGAGAAGAGCCAATTTTTTTTTTTTACATGTAGATTAAAAGATTCCTTTTAAATAATACCTTCAAAACTAAAGCAATGATTAGTGTTGTTGTATTGACACGGGTTAGTCTGAAAATATGCCAAGGCTTATTCCACTGTGCACGTTAGATGTTCTTCAGCTGTATTTAAAATCCGGAATCAAAGTTGTCATTTTACGTAGAAGGTTACAGTACAAATGGAACATTCTTCAGCATTGAAATGCTTGGTTGCATTTTTGCTCTTTCTGAATTCACTTCTGTTGATGTGTTTGTTTCTGAAAGCATATAATTAACTGTTTGTTTTCAGTTGCATGTTGAAAATAAGCTTGCTATTGTGCATTAAAACCAGTGTGTCATTAGTGCTAGAAATTTTGGTTGCTTCAGCAATGCAAAATCAATGAGATGGAAGACAGTGGAAATTAAATTGAAATCCTCTCTAAAAGAGGAGATTCAATTGCTGTAGCTTTTTTACTATTTGTTAGCATCTCATAGTTCCCAAAAATACAAATCTGAATTAGTTAAGCTGGGTGATGTAGTAACTTCAAGAGTTAGGTGTTAGTGCATGTTGGAGTACGTAGCTGCTGAAGCTTAAGGGAGAAAAACCTAGGCTGAAAAACGACTCTGTTTGTAAGCAATTGGTCTCAATGAGTTGACAGTCCTGGAATGTTTAATTAGCACGGGGGGGTTTTTTTAAGCCAACTAGAAATCATAGTAAGATGCTGAATCAGACAGAGATTGTTACTAAATATTGGCATATTTTCATTGAATATTTTGTATTTGTAGAATAAGGCAATTGAGGATTGACTGGAATCACTTAAATTAGTTGAATTCATTTGTTTTTTCCCAAAACCTTGTGGGAAGGAAATGACAGTTGGTTTTGTAATGATCTAGTTTTTCTTGTTTATTAATTACAAATCTTTATTATTAATTAATTAAATTTTTTTTGCAATTCTTAGTTACAAAAAAAGCACCAAAAACTGTTTTTCACTTTGGCAAGAAAACCAACTAAGTTTGTTTTAGGTTGAGGTTGTTTGGGTATTTTTGGTTTTGGATTTTTTGTTTGTTTGTTTCTTGGGGTTTGGTTTTTTTTAGCCAGTAATCACAAGCTCATTGCTCTTCTTATGATCATAACTTGTAAAGACTTTTTTTAAAGTTGTCTGATATTTAATTCAAAATCATTCAAAGTGAGGGCCAAACTAGCCAGATTTTAAAAAATCATGTGTGCCTTTGTAAGCAATGTCTTTGCAGAACTTCTAGTAGAATAAAAAAATTGAATAGAATATTGATCGGCAGGTAAATAAGCAAGCATATTTCCAAAGCTGCTTGTTCTATATTTCACTGTGTACTAGTGAAGAGTTCTTCACAATCATCACAAAATAAAACTGTTTATACTTTTGCTGTGACAAGAAAGCTAAAACATTTGGGCAAACATTTATACAGAAAATGCAAGACAGAAGAATTACCTTTTAATGTTGGCTTCACAGGCATGTCTTGCAGCATGAATTTTAAAAGCTAATAGCTTTTAGTTAATGACTGCCTCTGTCACAGTCCGTGACTTCCACAGATGCTGCTGCTTGAAAGTGGAATCTCGTGCTTAAAAAGTAGATAAGAGAAGTACTTGCTGAAAAATTACTTTTAATTTGCACTGTAGTTATCTGTAGTTTGTGTAACTGACTGCAACTTAATATATTATAGAATACAAAAATGCTAAAACCAGTCTCACATGTCTACAGAAACTGGCTAGCACTGGGATTTTCACATGCTGGGACTGCAACAAGAAAAATAGGTTTATCAGCTAAGACAACCTGCTGTGAAAACATGAAATACCAGGAAAGATTTTACTATGTAACAGATTAGAAAATGTTTTAAATAGAATCAGGTTAAATGCTTGTAAAGGATTGTTTATCATTGTGATTCCAAAAATAGCTTTTTCTTCCTCGTTTTTGTTTTTGTTTTTTTAAACTAGAGAACACCTAGACTGGGGAAGCTAACCCGGTACAATTGCAGAACCACTTTTTCCTTACATTGGAAAAAGTAATGTTGCAGCATGAGAACCCTTCTTTCCTAGACGCTGCTTAATATTTTCTAGTTAAAATTGTGTGTTGTTAGATTCATAGTGTGCAGGCATTTGAGTATCAGTCCTTCTAAAAGGTAATTGATTTTTTAAAAATTATTATTATTGTTTTATTTGGTTATCCATTTGCTTTTATATAGGAGAATGGTACTGTTGTGCTGTTGTCTTGCTAAATTTTGATTCAAAGGATCCATTACTTCAGTATAATAGTTCTGATGCAGTTATCTAGGGAAGTGGTCACATTCTGCCTGGAAATACCAAATCTAATATTCAAGACAAATGGAACCAAAGCAGGATGTTATTTTTATCCTGCATCACTTTTCCTTTTGAATATAACACTCAGTAACTGATTATTACAGTCATCTTAAAACAGATTGGCTTCAAGGATTGATGAGTAAAACTATAATTCAGCAAAGGTTAAAGTAGATCACTAAGACATACTTCACTTACCTATTTGATAACTGAAACTTGGTTTTTGCTGGGGTAGAAATCTGGATGCAGTTTCACAAATGCTTTCTTACAGACAGAAAATAGTTAAATGTATTTAGTAATTATGGAAACTCCATCCTTAAATTCTGAAATTAATTTATACTGTTTGTACGGATAATTAAGTTCAATTTTCTTATAAATAAATTTATTTTTTTAAAATCTATAGGTTTTGTGTCATTAAGAAATAAAGGATAATGTCAGCCTTCCAGCCAATGCAGCCTGAAGTCCTCCACATTTTTCTGATATTCCTGTTTTTCCACGCAGGTATACAAAATACTGGTAAAAAGAAGTCCAGAGGAAAGTTGGGTTGTTTTCAGACGGTACACTGACTTCTCCAGGCTTAATGACAAGGTGAGAATTATACACTGATAAATTTCTCAGCTAACTTGCCTCACTCTTCTTTCATTTTCTGTGTCTCACATTTTTGTCACTTGCTTTCTTTTCTTGCTTATTTTACTGCATATAAAACACTTACTATATTAATGAATGAATAAGTATGATTCCTCGGGTTTTTAAAGATACAGGAAATAACTGCAGCTAGTATAAAGAAGGTATTTCTTCATCTGAAGCTGTTAGTGTGCTTCATACTTTATTCTTAATTTATGTGGTAAAGGAAATTAAAAACTATTTAATAGTTGTAGCCCCTGCATGGAAGTAGACCTAGGGGCCTGTATTCTTTTGCAGGAGTGAGCCAATAATTATTTAATCCTTTTCAGTGCAAGAAACTCTCCTCTTTTTGATAATAAAATTGAAGTTTTATGAGTATAAGAAGTTCTTTGTGTGTTGGTCAGTCTTCAGTTGTTTTCAGTGTCTTTGAAGTTAGTTGTGAAATGTTATATTAATTGTGAAATTCAACTTTAAAGCTGAAGAGAGAGATGCCAGGTAAATAGGGTTCTGGGTCAGCAACTTCATTTTTAGAACGTTTGAAAACAAACAGTGTTTGTCTAAAAAACACAAGGTTTTTGAACTGGTAAATAGCGTTTGGCTGTCACATTCAGCATTATTTCTATAGAAGCATAAAAGCAGAAAAACAGAATTACACTTCTTTGTCCTACTGTTCACACCTAAGAATAATCTTTCATTGCAAGTTTAACACATGTTCTACTATTATATTCTTTCATGTTCAAACTTGAAACTTTTTAACACTCCCTTTTTTTACCAGTAGTAAGGGATTTTTGGTATACCTTTTCTTCTCTATGGATCAATGTGCCTAATCAACTAAGAATTTAATTCTGCTGAATTTTTGCCTACGGACTTGAACTTACACATTTCTCTGGGTGCTTGATTTGACCTTTTTAGATACCTTTTAGGCTACTTTTAAAACATCAGTGTAATCTAAAACTACCACAAATTGTTGAATGTCAATTACTTCAGAGATTTCTTTCTGAAGATATTTCTATGTTTTAATTCAGTCTGTCCTAGATTAAGGAATGCCTTGATATTGACAAAAGCCTGATTTCTTTTGAAATGATGATGTTCTGGGGATTTCAACTCAAATTTCAGAAGTCAAGTCATACAACAGTTTGTATTTTGGTCAGCTATGTTGGATACGGGCCAAGAACTGGCTTACATGCATTGACTTTTAGCGTGGCTATCAGTAGTTTGAAAAATTAAAATGCAGAGATATTAATTTTAGAATAGATATTTAGATTCTACAAGTGAAGTCCTTAGTCTTTGCAGTTAAATCTTTGACAAAAATGTTTGGTTTTAACATGATTTACAAGTATTAGGACTTCTCTTTAAAAGGAGGAACTTTATTTTTCTCTTGTGCCACTGACTGACGCTTTTTCATCTTTCAGTGTCTAAACTTTTCTAAACTTTTATTTTGTTACTATTCTGTAATTCTCTAGAAGCTTCTGAATTATGGTACCTTTCAATTCCTGGAGCTGGCATTTCTGTATTATAAAAAGCATGATCTCTTGCGAATTGAAGAGTAAAAGGTTACGTGCACACATCAGTGGTTCAAAAGGCAACACCTGAAATACCTTGTTTTCTAATGACAAATACAAACATGAAGTTGCGGGCATGTACGCTCTCAGGATTTTCTGTACCATATCTCCTAGAAATCCAATATAAACAAGAGAAATACACTGTCTTAGAAATCGTTTTCTTCACTATCCTTCTTGAGGTTGGTGGCAAATGGTATTAGAAACTTGTCATTAAATGCCAACCAAATTGAATAATCAATCACTGTGTGAATCAGTTTAAAGTATTAACAGAGGGGGAATGGCTTTTCAGGAAGACTAGGTAGAAACAAAAGAGCAATATGTTTTGTATGTGTCAGGCACATATTTATTCACAAGTCCAAGCTGAACTGAGGGTTGGACTTCGTCAGTGGCTAAAAATGGAGAACATGTGAGAATAGGGACAGTGTTACAAGTTGGGGCATGGGTAGATAAAATCAGGACCAGATGAATGAATGCAGGTCAGCTAACTAATAGAAGCAGCTAGTGAACATAATAATAGCATTCTTTATTTGCCCTGATCTCTCAAAGAAAATAAATAAGGCAGAATAGATAGCAGTAGGATTCTAGTAAGTGTTTTGTACTTCCTCTAGTTTCTGAAATACTTTTAGTATGGAACAGCTAATAAAATAGAAATGAATAGGAGTAAAAGAGCTCAAAACTATGAACTTTCCTTTTATGAATTAAAGGAGTAAGTGCAGCAGCAGGTTAAGACTTGAAAGGAACAGATTTCAAGTGTGAGCAACAAGATCATTGAATGTCAAAGCTATTTACTTTCCAGGCAATGAAAAGGTTATTAAAACTCCATACCTACTGAAAGAAGACAAATAGAAGATGATGGCAAAGTAATCCAATGTAAAGGAGAGATGAGAGAGTGCCACTATAGGTCCACAAGAAGCCACATAGTGCTCTCAGAGTCAAAAGTCATTTAAAAATATACAAATAGAGATCATCACAAGGAGAGTAGTACAAACTTAGAAAGACTGAGGCAGAAGTGCTGAGATGGAAGATGAGCTATCACAGGACGCTAAGAGCAATAGGTAAAGTTCCATGGATCCTTAGAGACAGAAGTAAGGGAAGGAGACAGGAAATTAACAGATCCATTACTTGAGAGCAAACTGTAGGAAGCAAATAGCGAAGGATGTGGCAAAGACTGAAATACTGTATTTTGCTTTAATATTAACAAAAATAATGTTAATGGATGTTGGAACGTGTCAGAATTTGAGGGGTTCAGAGCAAAGGCTAAAATGCAGACATTTGGCCAGATGCATAGGTTTTGTTTGTTAAGAACACCTAGTGGATTGGAGAGGTATGTGAAGGATACACTTCTGTCCCATAAAATGGTGGGAAAAGAACTTTGTAAACTTTATTACTATGCTAGTAGAGATGTTGAACAAATAATGAAATGGCTGGGCTTAAGAACCAAGAAGTTAACTGTTTCTCTCTGAGGCTGTGCCTCATGTGATGTGCATAGCCTGTCACATGATGATGTAGGTGAGACACATCTAGATAAGATGCGGGAGCCAAGCAAGCAATCACAGCCAGCATAACTTGTCTGATCCACAGTTTTTCCTGCTGTCTGAGGAGTGTTCCAGAAAGAATGCCCAGGACTGTGCTGTTGAAAATTAGTCTGCTGACAACAGCTAGCTTTCTCATACTCTCTTCACCCACAAAAGGACTAATCTGTGGGTAGGTGTACTCTTTCCTTAGAAATAACTTACATGTTCTACATACCAGACAAGTGAAATTACCATTAGTAGAAATCTGTGTGGCTCAAAAGCTTTCCCAGCAGTGGTTATCTCTGGTCCTCTCTGCAACTAACATGGGAACTAATTTTGTTACCTTTTCTGGGTTCAGTTCTGTTCAGTATTTTATTAACTTAAGAGGGGTTATGGAGCATAGAGGATACTCTACATTTATGGTATAAAAAGTAACTTGGTAAGAGATGAAGTAACTTTGGATGACCAAAGATAAAAATGTCAGCAGAGTCTAATATCAAGATGCAATTCAGTAAGAGAAGAGGAAAAATACATTTAAATAATTAAACACAGAAATAAAGAACATGACTTTGACAATAAACCACTCTATAAAAAAGAAACTACTAGTTATCATTGACTATTTGAATATACAATGCTTGCGATGTTAAAAAAGCACCATTTCTTGTGCTATGAAATGGTACTTGTATGAGCAAGGGTGATTCACTAATGTGGTTCTTCCTTTAAACTGTGTAGAGAGATTCTAGCTGAAAGACAGTATCTGTTTAAACTTTTTAAAAACTTAATCTAATGAAAGAGCTACCCATTAGCTTTTTCAAAGAGTCCATAAAGAATAGTTAAATAAAGCCTATTGTCAGAAGGCTTAAATTGGGCCATGCAAGACAACCACTGAAGAATTATCTTGCAGCTTTGTAAACATTGAGTGCTAAACTGTTTTCAAGGCAGATTCTGGAATCCCTGTCACTGAAACATTCATAGGAATATATTAGGTGTGCAGTACATCCCTGATGGAAGTTGGCTTGATCCTGTCTTCAGAAAAAGATTAAGCAATTCTTGTGGCAGTTGGAGGAACATTAGATTTTGTGAAACCTGTTTACTTTTTCCTGTTGGTTGTAAATCCTATTCAAGATTTTTCTGTGTCAAGCACACCTTTTAAGAAAAGGCATCTAAAAATTGTTTTTCATGAAAATGTTAATTTTTTTTAATCTTCATGCATATTAGAAAAATAATTAATTGGCAGCCTTGGACAGGTCTATCATTATGTAATTTTATGCTTCCATTAATTTGCATATGTCATTTTTAAATTTAAAGAAAAATTTTAGGTATTTATGATGTTGAGTATACCCCATTACTATTTAAATAACTCAAAAATACAGTTTTGCATATTAGTTTGCCTAGAGTTTGAGCCACATCCATGCATATTGACATTTTAATATTCTACGTGTACAAGGAGCTACTCTTTACTAGAAGTATGTTATTAATGTGTTGTAATTCTGCTGTCTCCCTAAAAAAAGATGAGTTGCAAAGTTGTATGTTTGTAATGACTTTTTGTATATTTTATTTATATCATGCTTATTGTCCCTAAGTACTTTGGAAGAAACATCACTGAAATCCTCACCTGATAACTTTTTACTTGCATACAATTTTCTTATATTTACTGACTCAAAGGCATTAAATGGCAGACTCAGAGACATTAAATAACAAAGCAGAGTTTTTCATTCTTACTTTTATGTGGTAAATTTGAGAGAGAATTTGATTGTGTAAGGCAACACAGCAAGTGACAGAACTGTGTCCATAATTTATGCTATAATTTGGATTGTATTTACAGTTGAGATTTACCTTGTGCTTTAATTTAACAGAAGACAGAAAGATCCTGTGATTCTGAGTAAAGTCAGTGCCTCTGTCAAACTCGGTATTTCGTCAAGACTTTCTTCCTGGTTTTCTTCATTTGGTTTTGATTTCTGTTTCAGCTAAAAGATATGTTTCCGGGCTTTCGATTGGCCCTCCCACCAAAGCGCTGGTTCAAGGATAATTATAATCCTGACTTCTTGGAAGATCGACAGTTGGGACTACAAGCATTCCTCCAGAACCTAGTAGCTCACAAAGATATTGCTAACTGGTACGTGATTAATCTTTGCTTGTGGATTGGGATCTTCTTGTGTTCAAAGTCCTCGTATAGGCTTCTAGACTCTAGCAATATATCTTTGAGCAACATAGTAAGGAATTTCATTATCAATCATGTTAATGTTGTGCATTTGATCATTATGTGAATTATTTAGTGTCCTGTTAAGTTAATACCATCTTAGCCTAAGCAAAAAAGAGCAATTGCAGTATTTTGAATTGTACATGGTTAACTACTAACCAAAAGCTGTATATATAAACTGTTAGACTAATCCCATGTTTACTCCTAAAACATTACTTCTGTGCGCTGAATGCAGAATTGATACATTTTTAATTTATATTAAGACTAAATGTTAGGCTTTCATAATAGAAAGCACCTATTCTGTTATGCGATTAGTTTTTAAAATATATATTAAACTAAAGGTTTTTGATTTACATTACTTGATAGTAATAGAAGTACCTTTATAGATTGCTTTACATAAGTAAATGTAAATCACAAACTAAAAAAGGCTCAAGAAGAGTCTAAAAAACAGTGTGTTCAAGCAACAAGGTGCAGAAGTATCTTTGAACATGATCTTTTTTTCATACAAAGTGGAAGATTCTTCCAGAGCTCAAAGATGAGTAGAATATAATTCTGGCAAATGAAATGTAAAATCAGTTTAACATAGGCCAAAAGAGAATTTTTGTAAGCAAGTTGCTAGAGGCAGAGCAGTTAGTTCTAAAAGTCTTTTCCAACACCAGAAATAAAAAAGTTGTGAGGTTGCTGTACAAGAGATTGTAGGAGGAGGAATGAGTCTGACGAACTCTCTTCATCTGAAACTTCATTAAAAATGAAGAGTAAGCAATTATCTAGAGCAAACAGCATTCCCTCAAGAATTTTAAAGGAACTAAAATGTAAAATTGCTGAGCTACGATGTGAGACCGTATAATGCTTGTATCTACTTTTACTTTTTAGTAGTATAACTATCACTACATTTGGCACATTTTTATAAGGCATTTGACCATTGAGTTTGGGAACTAGAGATTAGTAAGTCTGACTCTTGGTACTGCTTGTAATTAAAAAACTGGTAAGCGGGTAAATAAAAATAGTACTTGGAAAAGCAATTAAGTCTTTTGCAAAGGGAATCTGTCTTGCAAGTAGTTATGAAGGAGCTCGTATAAAATTATTGAAAGGCAAGGGGAAAAGGATTGATGAAAACTTAGGGCTATTGCATATGGAATGCTGGATCACAATTATGGACACTGATGTTCAGAATACCTGGAAATGGAAATGAACAATGAGATCATGAAGTACTGTAGAAGGATCCCAAGGCACTGAGTAACTAACATTAAATTTCATGTCATGAAGTGCAAAATGACAATCAGTGCATACACACAGAATCAAAAGCTCATTTGTTTTTTACAACCTGGAAAACAACTGTTGGCATTGATACAGTTTTCTGAATCAATTTACTATTCAGCAGTAGTCAAAAAGTTGCATTAAAAATTGTTGAAGAGGAACTTGAAAGGGGAAAAAAAAAGTTATTGCTGTGGGAATCTGAATTGCACTTCCACGTAGTCCAGTACTAAAACACAACTTTGGATTTCAAAAGAGGGTCTGCTAGAAGTACAGAGAAGGCAAGCAAGAATAGATGAAGTTACAGACCAACTTCCCTGCGAGAAGAGTTCTGTACTCTTCAGTCTGTTGTCTTATGAAAGGGCTGGCTAAACAGGGCATGTGAAATCATCAAGAGGATAGGGAAGGTGAGTAAAGAATGTTAATATTTTGGATGATTCATAGTCATCTCTCAGTATGTCACACTGAGTTATGAAGCTTTGTTGTGAGATGTCAGAGACAAAAAGCTTAAATGGTTTCGAAAAGAAATTGGGATCAACCTATGAGTTTCTCTGTCAGTGGCCATTAAACATGATTACATGGGTGAAATATGTGACTGAAAAGTTTAGGAACTTCCTGGCTATTAAATTACACAATATTAGGTGTACCAAAAAAAAGGTAACTATTCTCTGAATGTCACTTATGTTATGCTGCTGGAGACAGACTAGTGAGCTGGATGGACTTCTAGTCTGCTTGAATAGAACTAGAGGCTTAATGCTTCATGTTGTTGTAGCTAGTTTGGTAATTCAGCTGGCTTGTTTGTGTCTTGATGATGGTCCATGTTGGACAAAATAGTGTTTGTCATAACTTAAGGCAAAAAAATCCAAAACAACTTTTTGACAGTATTGCTCATCAGTTACAAAAGGGAATTTAAATATTTATGGAATCAGTTTGTATTTTGATTAATGAACAGGTAGCTATCTGAAATTTAGTTTTGAGGAAAACTTAAGGCTCTGTGTGAAGAATAAGGTTTTTAATAAACTTTATATCCTATTGGTACAGCTTATGTTCTAATCTTGGGATCTGTAGACGTTCTGGATTCCTCAGGAAGTGATTAAACTAGGGAGATTTTGGGGGGGTTTTTTTGGTTTTTTTTTTACCTACTTATCAGAGAGTAAAAGTTACTATTAACAGAAATTAAGATTGCATCTTACATGAGCAGTGGTGAGCATCTGACCCTGCTCCCTCCTTAAATGCTCACCATTTACTTCTACAGTTTTGCAAATAAGTCAGACTGCTTGGGTCACACCAAAACCAAATGAGCCTTTTCTCTTTGTAGGGAAGTCTCCTTCATTTCTCTTTATGCAGTGTATTATCATTGAGACATATTGACAGTGGGAAATTTACTCTTTGGGGATGGGAGACCTCATTTGGTATACCTATTTTCCAATAAAACCAGGTTCACAAAGTAGTTTAAAGATAAAATGTAGGATGGTGAGCATATGACTAAATTTAGTCTGTTTTATGTATTTCTTCTCACATTTTGCTTTGTATTGAAGATTCGGTGAAAGATAAATTGGAATCCACCCACAGTTTGATGTGTTCAAGAGAATTTCATAACCCACAAAGTGGGAGAAAGAAGTTTAACCTGCTAAACAGAAGTGTCATCTGACTTTCTATAGATGACAAAGCTCTCCTCTGCCTCCACCCTGTATAAGAGGATGGTTGAAAAGGAGGAACTGAGTCAGCAGTTTGTCTTGTCAGGGATCTCATGTGCAGCCTGCCCCTTGCTGCCCTCTGTAATGCTGCCTCAAATGCAGAGAATGAGCAGAGGGCAGATGCCGCTGCCCTCACCTTCCCATGGGACTTAGGGTGGGAGGAAGCGACAGGCAATTACTTCGGATTCACATCTTCCATTTTTGTGCATTCATTGCAGTAGGAGATGATTTAAAGATTTATAGCAGTGAGTGCAAGCACAGAACTGCTAATAAGTTACTACTTGCTAATTAATTGTGAATACAGTATTCTGAATGGAGGTTATTTATAGAAGAATGAATACAACAGAGCAGGAAAGTCTTTAAAAAGTGGGCAAAGGGACGTGTTTGGAGATGTTGAAGAATTTTCTAAAAAGTAATCTAAACTTGGAAGATAAAATGAGCAAGGTGCTCAAAATACTCTATAGTAAACCACAGGATTACACATACTTCCTTCTTCTGGCCTTTGCAAAATAATTGATGGAGGAGGATGACAACTGATACACAATTTTAAGTTGAATGCATTAGTTTGAAATGTACGTGTAGAGATGCTATGTAGTCTATCCATGGCACGTTAACTTTGTCACTATTTTATAATTCTTGTATGTATATGTACATAAACATATACTGTATATATATAAAAATTGTATACTGTGTATATGTCAATGCCTTACTATCTTAGCAAAATAAACATGTTCCTGTACCCATGCTTAGTTCCACGGGTATTTCCTGAAGGGATCTGCATATGGATTTTAGCAGCATACTTTTTCATTCATCTTTTAATATTTATTTTTCACCAGCAGAATTTTTCAAACCTTTTCAATACCAGAGTGATAAACTTGCTTGTCAGTTGTCATGTAGCAACAAATTCTATGAAGATCTGAAAATTCATGTTCTAAATTGACTTGCTCTCTGTTTGAAAACTCTTGTGTACTTGAACAATTTCATAAGTCACATTTTAAATACTGTTATCTCATACAACTGAGGCTTCATAGTTTGTTAATGGTTTTTTGAATACTTGGGAGTAAATTTGAAGATAGATGTTTGTATGCCTTAAATGTGATCATACAATGGCAGTATCTGTTTAAGTGTTGTTGCTTTTTTGTACTTCAGGTAATTCACTCTCTTTTTATTTGGTTAAGTCTTGCAGTGAGAGAATTTCTTTGTCTGGATGATCCTCCAGGTCCTTTTGACAGTCTAGAAGAGAGCAGGGTAAGTGCTATGTAATAAAATAAAAGCATAATGCAGTAGTTGTTGTTAGAATATTGTAAAATCTGCTGAATGGTATGGAATGAAACATTTTTATTTCTGTTCTTTCACAAAAATCTGCAAATAGGTGTACTTCTAAAACTGACACAGTCTGATTATTGGTGCACGCTGATAATCTTTGACTGCTGTACTTCATCCCTGTCCCAAGATATAATCTTCTCCTTTTTGCCTTTTATGACCAGTGGATGAAATTTGTTTTTAAGGCAACTACTTCCATAAGGCAGCTGCTGCATATGAGAGTTTTTGTAGGTTTACATTCAACAAGTTATCACAACGCATCCACCTTAGACTTCAGGTCTTGCAGTAAAATGTTCTTGCTATGAAATGTAATGAAAGGACTGACTCTGACCACCTAAAATCATGTTCTTGCAGATAATTGAGCAGTGTCAGTGTTTTAAAACAGCAGCCCTTCAACATGCGTATGAGCACACTGAATAATACTGCATGATGCAGCCTGTTTTATTAGAAGTACATTTCACTGGCATGCAGACCTATATCAAGTCTGTCTAGAACAGGTGGTCTTAGTTTTCTTGCTTTATAGAGTAACAGTGTGATGTGGAATTGCACGTACATTGTTAATGCTGTAGAAATTATGAATGGTTAAGTGATGCTCCTTCAACTAAATCTGTTTTGCATGTGAGTAGGAGTGCCTTGGCTCTTGTTACATTACTGTGTACATCTGAAGGATCTGCTGTGGGGTTTGTGTTATATTTGATTTCTATACAATCACTTTTCTTTATAGCTATTTCAGTTGATGAAAAGTTATTAAAATTACAGGAATTATATGTTCAGATAATAAAGAAATTCAGGTGCCACCTTCATAGATATTTGGTCATGCATGCTGTCGTGAAGTCTCAGGGTTATTCTTCCACCGCAGGATTTTAGGCAAACTATTAAAATAGCTGTGCTGTTGTAATTTTGGCTATTAACTATTTTTGAAAAGTTGTCAGACACAGCTGTCACAAAATCCTGGTCTCCAAAGGAAATTCCACTTTATTACAGAATGGTTGAGGTTGGAAGGGACCTCTTGAGATCATCTAGTCCAACCTTCCGTTTTAAGCAGGGTCAGCTACTGCAGATTGCACAGGACCACGTCCAGTCAGGTTTTGCATGATCTACAGAGGAGACTTCACAGCCTCTCTGTGCAGCCTGCTCCACTGTCTGATCACCATCACAGTTAAAAAGTGTTTTAATGTGTTCAGATAGAATTTCCTGGTTTTTAATTTGTGCCTGTTGTCTCTTGTCCTATTAGTGGACACCTCTGAGAATAGTCTGGCTCCCTCTGCTTCATTCCCTCCCATCAGTAATTTACATCCATTGATAAGATCACTCTGAACCTTCTGTTCTGCAGACTGAAGAGTCCCAGCTCTCTCATCCTCTTCTCGGATGAAAGATGCTTAGATCTCCCTTACTTATCTTTGATCAAGATCTTTGAATCATGAGCCCTGAAGTCCTGGTAGACAACAAGCTGGAGATCAGCCAGGTCCCTCAGCACTCATGGGTGCAACCTGTTAGGCCCCATGGACTTACGTATGTCCAGTTTAAGTGCTCCCTGACCTGGTTCTCCTCCACTAAGTGTGAGTCTGTCTTGCCCTTCCTTGTCTTTTCCTCTGGTTGCAGATGTCTGGGATTCCTGAAGTCTGGTCTTAGTAGTCAAGATGGGCAAAGATGGCATCGAGTACCTTAACCTTTTCAGTGTGATTTGTAAGAAGTTCCCCCACTCCCTTCAGCAGTATGTCCATGGTTTCTAGTCTTCCTTTTGTTGATTATGTACTTGTAGAATCCTCTCATGTTTCCTTTCACGTGCTGTTGCGTGAAAGGGGTGGTAAAGCAGTTTGGCAGGAAATAAACCCCCTTTCATTCCAGCTTACCCTCGGATATCAGAGGAGCTGGGGGTGGCTGGGCTTAGATCCTGAGTGATGCCCAATTCAGCACTACGAGTCCCACAACAGCAGATTCACTCGATAGTGCACTGCACGCCCATCTGCCCAGGATTTATGGACTCTCAAGGCTAAACCTGCAGAATTTAGCAGTGTCTAGTGAGGAACGGTGTGGCTGGACAGGCACAGTTT